TGCAAATTGACTAATATTATCTAATATTTTTTAATTATTGAATATTTAAAAATATTTTTAGAATTATTAAATATTATCTAATATTAATTTTAAAAATTATTAAATATTATCTAATATAATCTATTAAATAAAATTATAAATTATTTTTTATTAAATCCTAAACCATTAAAAATAATTTAATAACAATAATAATTAATATATATAAAGAAAATCAATTTTATCAGACCAATCAAAGAAATTGTAACAAAATTTTTAAACCAACTCTTTTTAGAGTACTTGCATCAACTTTATAATATATATATATATATATATATATATATATTATAATTTTATATTTTAAAATTATAATTATGTTAATAATAAGAAAAAATGTAAAAAAATAAACATTAATCATAATTAACTTAATAAACTTATAATATCAAAATTATTACATCAAATATAATAAATAATATCATATTGATACTAATTATCATAATTTAATTAGTATGTAGAAAATTATCTATAATAAAATATATAATTATATAAATTAAATTTTATAAAAATAAAAATAAAAATATACTAAATAAACTAACTCATGAGTAAAATCAATTCATTGACTCGTGATGTTGTGAATCAAATTTTTCTTATATCTAAAATGTGTCGATTTTTTTCAACCTAATCCAACCTAATTATATAATATGTCGAGTTGGGTCAGGGAGGAGGATCTTAACTTATTTTGAGTGCTATGTGAAGAGAAGGGTTATTTTAGATTTAGAAATATATTAATAATAATTAAAAACAAAATCTTTTGTGAGGGAACGCGCTTTCAAATATTTTTGTATTGTATTTTTTTGTGTGGGTCCAAACCGGTTTGCTTGGTCTCAGAACATGGTTTAGATCATCACCGCTTTGGCCTATTTCGATACTTTTGAAGACTGATTCATTGGGATTCAACTCCTTTCAATTTCGTTTCTTTGAACAAAAACTCAATCTGGGTCGTGTTTTTTTTTTTTTTTTCCTGAGTTAATTTTTTTCGCAACATGAGCAAAAACTGGAAATTCAGCTTCAGGGATCCTGGGGGAGTTCTGTTCCTTCTAGCGTTGTGTTTGTTGTTTCAGAATTTTGGTTCGTGCTGCTCTTTGAATGAAGAAGGTACTGGATTTTTGTATTCTCGTGCGGTTAATTGTGTGTATCTTAGGGGAAAATATAGCTGAGAATGACTAGTGAGTTCTATGTGCAGGTAAAGTTCTTTTGAAGTTCAAGCATAGAATAGTAAAAGACCCTTTTGGTGCTTTGTTGAGTTGGGTCGACGATGAAGTAGCAGTTAGCCCCTGTAATTGGTTTGGAGTTGAGTGCTCTGATGGAAGAGTGGTGGTCTTGTAAGTTCTGATTTTGTGATTGTTTCTCAGAAATTGAATATAAATAAGTTTTTTTTTTTTTTTTTTTTCTTTTCATTCATCCAAGTTTCAATTTTGTACTTTATTTTTCTGTTATTAGCAAAACTGTTTGATCCATGATATTTTGAGTCTGTATGGCAGAAACCTATAATGGTTTTTTATTGTATTATAATATCTCCTCAATTGAAATGTGCCTTGGTCTTGACTCTTGAGTCAATTGATCAAAATCCATAGATGCTTGATATTCTCATGATAAATATCAACTGACTATTGTTCATATTGTTGGTATTAGTAGCATGCTGATCATGAGAAAATAATTTTTTTGGCAGGAATTTGAAAGACCTTAGTCTCAAAGGAGATCTGGTACCCGAGCTTGCGAACCTTGTTCACATAAAGTCCTTGTAAGTAATTGCTCATTACCATTTACCAATTTCCGATGTTTATAGCAGCTACCTCCTTTATAATTTCAGTTTTCAAATGTCTAATAATATTGTGAGGAATATGCTGCAGAATTTTGCGGAACAATTCTTTTTATGGAGTCATTCCTGAAGGAATTGCACACTTGAATGAATTGGAGGTTTTGGATTTGAGCTACAACAATTTCAGTGGACCGCTGTCTACAGATCTTGGGAATAATGTTTCACTAACAATTCTGTAGGATAATGCTCTTTGAACAGTTCAAATTTCATTTTTTTAAACTTCTTTTCCAACTGTGTACTCAGTTTCTTCTGATTGCAGTTTGCTGGACAACAACGATCAAGTAGATGAAAACCAACTAAGCAGTGCAAATAAAGAGCCAGCTTGTACAAGATCTGTCACACGGTATGTCATTAAGCCTCCGAAAGGGCTCATCTCTAGTTTAGAGTTTATGAGTCACGAGTCTTTCATTATGTTTCTGGTTCACTAGTTCTATATATTGTAAGTTGTGTCCATTTTATTCCATTAGATTTCATAAAAATAACTTTTCTATCATTCTTTTTGTTAAGGCATGTTGGCCAAAATAGAAAAGGTCCTCGGAGGCTACTGCAATCTCCTACTCGTGATAGTCCTTATAATCGCGCCACTATTTTTCCTGATAGTCCTGCTCCATCTCCTTCAGCTCCCTCACCTGACTCAGCAATGCCACCAGCGG